TGTGCTTTACGTTCCCTGAAGCAAGATTTAAAAATCGCTCTATCGATCCAATAGTTAACCAGCAAATATTACACTCTACACTGTAAGGAAGTGATTTACAGGAGACCTAAAGAAACTATAAAAGGAAATAATACCATGACCTATTGCTTAACACTGGCAAGTCAACACACATAATACTTCTTTAAATCCCTGGTTCGTTCAATTCCTGACAGTCACCTTTATTGAGTGGCTGAAGACTTCATGCACAAACTCAATTTTCATTCCCCACCACTATCCCTTAATACCTGTCCAGATATAATACTCTTTGTGCTAGCATTTTAATTGAATACTAAAAAATAATAGTTCACTGAATGCAAGATTTACTGTAACACATAAAAATAAAATGACAATAAAGTCATACATATAAATTAAGCAAGAAGCCCTGTAATCTAGTCTGTATCAATGCTGTATTTTCTCTCCTGTCAATGTCTCACTCTTCATCTCCTTTGTAGTGTAATAAATTACCATTATTGGTAAATATTTATATTCAGTTCTGTAGCATCAAGATACTGACAGCTCATACAGGTCTCCCAGAAGAATGCTCCCATCATCCTGAGACAACACAAATATTTATCACATTTGCCTTTCTAATGGGTTTATGCCTTTCTGGGGATGACTTCTAAGATCATCTTTATTCTTGTCTCAGCAACTTTTAGCTAAGAAAACTAAAACAAATTAGGACTTTGATAGCCACATGCATACTAGTTAAAATCAATAGCTTTAATTTCCACATTTAAACCTACAATTTTCATCTGACAGGCTCAGCAGGTTTTAATGCACACAGCAATTTACTTTTACTGTTTTAATTGTTTTTAGTCAATCACTTTTATTGCTTCTCTGCATCTGACTAAACAAATTAATAGAGCTATGTTCATAAATGATTACTCTCTGAAATGGCTTGATAGATATATTTGCCAGTTTCACCTCCAATTACTGCCAACATTAGTAATATTTATACCAAAAGGTACATTTATTCAAATTCTATAATTAAGTGAGCAACAGGAATAAAAATAGCCAGAAAATCTATTTTGTGAGCTCTACAGTAGCAAGTCTTGTCCTTCTAGCAGCATTCTCTCCAAGCCAGATAAAAAACCAGCACGACCTGCCTGCATAGTGGGCTGAAAAAAATCTGTATCACAGCAAGAGTCCCGCTTGTATTCTTGCATGACTTCTGCCTGAGAAAAAAGCAGTACATACATCTGCTGAAATAGAAGATCCTGATTCACTAAATGAAGCCCGGTGTTATTCCATAAATCTTCAGCTCTTCTGTCCCTTGAAGAAAGAGAGCACAGCCTTCCCACACACAAGCAGCAAATTGCCCCACTATCTGGAAGCACCTGAGATGTTCAAACCCAGACCTCTAGAGCTTTCGTTTTTTAACTATAATAGGAGAAAAAGTAAGCTAAAGCAAAGAACCTTTCATCAACAGTTCCAGAGCCACCTTTCACTAGCAGTATCAGGGACTGAACACCTTTAAAGTTGAAGATTATAGTTTTCCGCTGCTTTTTGGATGTCTAATCAAATCTAACCACTAAAATAGCTTGAAACTTCTATGAAAAACACTTTTAAAAAGAGGCTTGATCCAATCAGGTAGAGAAAGCCTGAAATTATTTTTCCCCACCTTCCTTCCTTCTCTGAAGAGCAAGTCATCTTGAAGATCTCTCCTCTTCCTCCATTCAAAGAGAAATGAAGTGCACGGAAGAGCAAGGCCACAAACTCCAAGTAGGAGAGGGTATTTCTTGCTTTCTGGACCTAAGCTGCAAGGAAGAGGAGATCCAATGGCCTGCCTGGCCTCAGCTGTGGGTTAGCTTACAGCAGGTGCTGGAGCACACCAGGCTCAGCCCAACTCCACGTTCTTGGCTCTCCACAAATACCTAGCCATGCTCCTCCAGAGGATAACTAAATGCTCCAGCTGTAATTAACACATCAAGTTTTCCTTCGACCCACACCTGCTTTGTCTCCACACTCGTGGTGTACTATAGATTAGGCAAATAAACCTTTGGGGAGAGTATGTCCTGCCATGTCACTGTGTTTCTCAAACATCTTCCCTTGTGAGTGCGGAAATACTTGGTCACAAAGCTCCCATCCCCACATTTACTGAATGTGTTCTTTCTTCTGAGTGGCACCTAGAGTACTAAACCAGCTGCTGCTTTTGTGGAAAAGAAGTGAATGTAGAAGCGATTCTACATTGGTCAAAACTGCTGACATCAAATCAGTTTTTCATTCGGTATTCCTGCTTACGAGCACGCGCATTGATTTAAACCTTCATTGAACAGAAGCCCTTGGAAAGATGCTGGAAACTGATGAACTACATAGTCTGGTTGAAAGGCTCTTTACCTTTCTTTTAGAAACCTGCATAATATGTTATATGAAAGAACCTGGATTGCTAGCTGAGGCTGCTAGATACCTCATGAATATATCAATTTTTAGTCCCTAAGCTATCAAGCTTACACTCTAATGTTTTTCTTGTTATTGCAGTAAAGCATGTGTCACATCAGAAATGTGACTTACCACACATGTAAACTGCAAAAAATGAATCTGTTTCTTGTTGAGGTTCATGCAAAATGTAATTTGGTTTTTTTTCCAGGGTTTTCCATTGACTAAGAAACCAATTCAAGGTATAAGTAGATACCATTTTTATTTTACATTCCTTGGGATTAAACAGATATTTAACCGACATGCAGTTTGTACAAACCCATCCTTCACTGCCCTTGTATTGCACACAAGGAGGCAGTACAGCTGCTCTATAATCCCATCCTTTTGTCATCAGGCAGGACAGCACTCACTGAAATGTTAAACAGAGCAACCAGCTTGTTCTGATGGCATATCCCACAATATGCCTGTGATCAGGACTCTTCAATAAAGAGCTAAGTCTAATAGAGGGCTAACTAAAGAAATCATCCATCAGATTACCTGAGTTGCTGCTGCTCTTAGCAGAGATTGCAGGAAGAACAAATAAAGCCAGAGGTGGTAACAGCATATCCAATCACAGCCAAACATGGCCCCTTTGATCATACAAAGCCTGCTCCTTCCCACCAGTGCTTTACAGCAGAGGCGAGTGATGAACAGACACCGGTCACAGCCACGCCTGGGCACAGCTGTACTCCTGTGGAAAAGAACTGGCGTCATCTTCTTAACTGTGTGCCCCGTGAGGCAACTCAGCAAGGCAGCAGCCTCAGCTCAATGGTAAACCTGCCTTGAAACAGTAACAAGCTGCAAAAATACCCAGACATTTTTCTGCAGGCCAACACCGTGCGACATCAGCCCACAGAAGCCCCTGCAGAATGATTAAAACATTATCCCAGAGTGAATTATTTCGTACAAAATGCACACATGCACTGCTGGGCTGCCTCATTAGCACAGAAAATCTGTTGAGATGCTGTTCTTGATCACTTGTTCTCAAATGTCAGAAGATCTCAAGCAAGATCAGCCTCATAGCAGGAGCCATACCATGCAGAAGAGCCTTTACATCCCTGTCAACCTTCTCTAAATTAACTGGACAAAGAAGTAGCAGTTAAAAAATAACTTGTCCGAGGTCACCTACAAAGTCTACAGCAGAATGAAGAAGCAGGTACAGATCTTGATTTCTGGTCTGGTTTAATACAATCTCTTCTAACCCCAAAGAAGGAAAAACAATATGAGGTAAGGCATCAGCCTACAACAGTACTGTAACTGTTACTCTCTTGGGAAGTATTCATACACCACAGACCAGCACAGCCCATATTTTGGAGCCGGGGACAGAAACCAACACTAAAACTTGCTCACGTTTTCAGCAAGTTTGCTGCTTGGCAGGGTCCTTCCATCTCATCTACCTGGGAAAGACTTGATACAAGCCCCCAAACATTCAATAAACATTCACAGAGACATTACACAGTGTATTTCCAACACATATAATTGTATTGAGAATGCATTGTTTTCTTACCCACTCCAAACTCTCTCTAGCATACGAGCTTATACAGAGCTCACTTTAACGAGCCAAAAACCATAAAAAAATTAAAATATCAAGGTCAGTAGATCAGTACATTGCAATTGAACACATTCCAAATTCTGAATCCAAGAAAACAGCCTTTGTAGTGATACAAGTGCTGGTTGTATCTACCAAGAACTCTATTGCTGCCCTTCAGACCTGCTCTCCATTTCCAAGCACACAGAAGTTCCTTTACTGCCAGTTCCTCTACTGATGGCGCATTTTATTGACAAAATACAGCCAAGCCACCTAAAGCAATTTCAGCTACAGAACCTCTCACACAAGAAGGTAACCAGTTCCCCCATCCACTTGCAGTAGATTTAGATCAGCAAACATGCAGACGCATTCAGATATTTGAAGTCTCATGTCAGCTGACAGTTAAGGACAGGGTAATGCTGTAACAGTGTGTTATCCTGTGCATGCTGCAAGCAGAGCTTTCTTTCCTCAGCCAGAAGGGCTGTGGATTCCCCCTCTGCCACACGCTGGTCCATCTAAGCCTTTTCACTCTCTTCTCCAATTTCCCCTTTCCTTCGTCTCACTGCTTTCTTGAATTGAGTTTCTTATTACAGTTCTTCAAAAATTCTCCTAAAATAACTAATGCCACTTAAAGGCTGCAGTGTTTCCACTCTTAAGAAGTGCCAGATGTATACAAGTCCATTAAGAGTTCAAGTACAGGCTTGGAGCTGCTGCACCTAACAACTAACCAGCAAAAAGTAAGCTGCACAGCCACAAGTAGACAAGTTCCCTATGGCACAAATACTATCACTGCTGAAAATGGCAGGCTCCAACATAACATTATGCTTCTCTTAATTGCAATTGTATAAAGGAAGAAAATGTTTGCTCCAGTATTCATGGAAGAAATCACAAATCTTAATGCATGCCAAGACTCAGAGCTTGATGGGAGAGGGGGAGAAGCCATACAGCAGCACATTACCCCCCCTCCACACACTTCTATCAGGCAGGTTGATGAAAGAAGATGCATTCCCTAACATACCTGTACTAGTTTAAGTCCCAAGCAGAGACTGCTAGAGGAGAAGTGCAGCAGAACAGTGCCTGGCATCACTCTGCAAGAAGCAGGAGAGATCCATGAATGCAAATTCCTACCACATAAAAACATCCCTGGCCTTGCATGACCACGTCACACAGTTCAGCTCTGTTGTCAGACTGGGGGCACACACAAGTGCTGCACACAGCAGCTAGCAGTCTTGCTAACTATAACTAAAATTCTTGCTAACACCTCATGAAGAAAATATACTTCTATGTGGAAGCAAGTGCATTTGTTGCGTTGCTTCTCTTGTTCAGAAAAGAGCATCAAATCCATACTGCTCCCTAAAGATGCTCCACTCCAAACATTGCAGTTTCCTAGAACACAATGTTGGCATAAATGCAGATAGCCAGTACATGGAATACATTCCTCTTTTCATCCATTTTCAGACCCTTCTGAGAAGGGGGCTATTGCCATGACTAGGAGGTCTGGAAAGACCAGAATTACTCAGCTTAAGCTCACTCAGAATGATTTCAGATGTGTGCTCTTCCCTCCCTTCCCCTTTAGAATGGGCAGTACTTCAGAAACCCACTGAACAGTAGGTGCTTCTCATCACACTCTGCCCACAGTCATTCTATCCAATTTCCTATAGTGTGCCACCTAACAAGAGAGCTAAGTTAAAAATCCCCACTTTGTCACATCTGATCCTCTGGACCAGAATTATAAAAATTAGAACTCTCATCCCTCCTTCTAAATCCACATCCTTCCTTTGCGGTGTCAGTGCCCCAGCCATTTTATCAATGCATCTTAACACAGTTGTAATGCAATGGAAAGCACAGCAACGACAGCAGAGCAGCAAGGTCCAAGGCTGCAGCAAGTGAGGATTTGCTCAAACACAACAGCCGAGGGCACAGAAATAAAGGAAAGCATCTGCTTACCTTCAGAAGGCCTCAGGCACGCAGGGACCTCCAGCAAAATCCCCTTGCCTCCACTGCCAACCCTTAAATGAGGTCTGGGAAGGGGTGCATCCTGGCTCCACCCCCTCCATCACTCAGGTACATTGCATGCAGCTGAGCTCCCCTGGGTTGGCCCTGCCTTCCCACCAGGTGCTCAATCACCATTCCAAACCATGACTCAGCATTTCTGCTACATCACATCTCTTCAGCAGAAACAGAAAAGTTTTATTGAATTAAAAATAGGAGGTTTTTTTTTTTTTTTAATAAGGTTCAAGCCTGAGAGAAGACATAATAAGCCTTGCCTATACAGAAACAGCAAAAATTCCACTCAAACACTGTAGAAGTCCAGCCTCTTTCTGTTGTATTCCAGTACTGCTAGACTCATGAATTTCTCCTGCTACCAGCTGACAGACATGCTCAAAATAAATGAGATGCTAACAGGAAGGATCCTCACTACACACTCATGTGAACAGAAGGGTTGCTTTCAAAGTCCACAGTTTCCAAGGTCCAAAGAAGTTTGAATCATTTTTGAATTTCTGTTTTTACTTGGGTTACTGTAGAAAGCTGTGATGATCTATGGCTGCAGCCTTATTGCTGGGCACTACAAAAGGCAGGTCTGCGTGCTGCAAAGGTTGAGAGAAATGCAAAGATTAGGTTAATGTTTTTCATTCAGTTTCTAAATTGAAAGTTCATTCTAGTAATTAAAAATTAGGCAAGAACTTAATAATCTATAAAGGTGAGCCTCCACTGTAAGCAGTTTAAATTGGCAGAACAAAAATATTTATGTTTAAAAGATGGTAACTTAGCAACTACAGAACGATTTAGCTCTCAAACTTCATAATTCTCCAAGTTGACACACAGAGAGATGGGAGCTGCAAATGCTCATGGAGGGCATTTCCTCCAAGTGAGAAAGCTGCCGAAGGCTCTGTGATACTCCTGCACAGTGCCTCGGAAATGCACGCCTCCAGGACAAATCCTTTAAGGTCACATAGCCAAGTTTTCTATTTTAGCAGAGCAAATGCCACAGCTCTAAACAGAGACTCTGCTCCGTGTCCTCGCCACACGCAGACCCCTCTGAGTGCCTGTATCTAAACAAGACAGCCGAGACCTGCAGTTAGAAAGAGAGATCTGAAGAGGAAGGCCTTTGGTACACGAAGCACAGCTCTTGGACTGAGTTGAAAGTCAAAGAGAATGTAGAAAGGAATAAATAATCAAAAGAACAGAAGTAAAAAGAAACTGATAAGACTCTGAGAGGTACAGATGTATTCTGAGATTCCTGGAGCACACACACAAAAAACCAACAAACAACGCTTTTCTTGTTGTTGTTTAAAGTAGATTTTGTTCTAAGCTACAGCATTCTACAGAAAGAAATGCATCATAATAAGAGAAGTTTTGTACTGTCTGCAAGATTTTACTTTATTTCCTGCAGAAACAGAATCCAAGTTGCATGGATTCAGGAAAAGAAGAAGAGCAAGTTCGGGCATTGCCCAAAAACCCAGCAATCAGAGCACTCGTGTTGGTAGGGAAAAGATACGTCAGCAACCTGCTGCAAGGAGTTCATTAGAATCACTGAACATGCTGTGCAGTCATTTACCTGGGCCTGCTGGATGAGGACACCTCAGCATCATAACATCTGAAGGCAAGATCCTGCGTGTGGAAACTGCATGGAGTGAGGCCCATGAAAACATGGACAGTCATTCCTCGTTAAGATTCCCAAGGAGATAACTGACGCCAGTGAAAAGTGGGAGTCTGTCTCACAAATAGTTGTTTACCTTGATGGAGAACCTAGTGTGTCTCTTTAGCATCTTTATAAGTTATTAATAAAATGCCACACAGGGCTGGAAGTTCCGAAAAGAGCACTGGGGCTGATTTGTGAGCAAAGATATAAGCAAATAATGTGAAAAAGTGTGAAACAAGTGAGGGGAGTGGCTCCAAAGGAAGATCTTAATACCGAAGCCGCTCATCTTTCACTTGGAATAAAGGTAGAGGTTATAAGAAAAGTTTATAATGCATGAACCTAAAAGGGACAAGATTTAAAACGTGAAGAGAATCCCAAGTTTGTTAGTTTAAAAACTAAGGCAAAACAAAACAAATTTGGAAGCTGATATCCTGACGTGGAAGAAACCAGTTTAATTTCTCAGTAGTAAGGAGCGCGGCTTTTGGCAGCGTTGCGGTAGCAGCTCAGTTCAACGTCTCAGCAGAGCGCCTTGAGCTGAAGAGCGATGCGAGGCTCAGCAGCGCTCGGTCGGCGCGGAAGGCGGCTCCGGCTGCGGTGCGTTCCCGGGCCTATGGCGCCCCCTGCCGGCCTTCCCGCGCAGCGCCGCGCTGCCCATCCCGTTGGGTAACGGGCACCGAGCCGCCCAGCCCGGAGCCCCAGCCCGGAGCCGGTCCTGCGCAGCCCTGTGACCGGAGGGCGTCCCCGCAGCTGTTCCGTGACGGCAGCGCCCGCTGCTCGGTGCCAGCCCGGCACCGGAAGGCACCGCTCGCAAACAGGATGAAAGGAAGCCAGAGGGATTTCCAGGTCTTTCCTGGAAGGGTCAACTGAGTTTTAGTGTCGCTGTCAGCTGTTGCAGACCTCTTCCCCATTTGGCAGACTGAAACGTAGCTGCTGAGGTGCGACAGAGCCCCTGGCCTCCAGGACGGCCCTGCTGCAGCTCTGCCAAGTGCCACAGCCATGTGCGTCACCAGGGGAATTCGGGTTTCCATCACTGCCGCAGCCCGAGGCCCGGCATCTTTGGATTCTCAATTCCTGCCTCACGCATTGCCCTCATATTCCACAGAGCAACTCTGCATTTTCCCCTCTCGGGTTTCTCATTAGAAGAACTAGGCTGCACATGAGTGTTCTCTCCCTGCTCACTTATTTCAGGAATCCCCGTCTTCTGGTGACCTCAAGGGCAGTACCAGCCCCTTTGCTGCCCTAACCAACCCCACACCCATTGCTGTAACACATCTCTGTGTTGCTGCCACAAAAGACCCATATTTTTGTCAACCTTTTGTATTTTACGCTCACATTTTTGTTTCCCATGAGATTATAGAAAACTTGAATTAGTGCTGCTTGCCAGTCTGCAGCCTGTCTTGAATCCTACAGGTGTTCCAAAGACAGAATTGCTTATCTGCACAGAAATGCATGGCTGAGAAACAGCTGCACAAGAAAACCCCTCTTCTCCATCCTGCTTTTGAACTCCAGTTCCCCCTCCCTCTTCTGTAATCAACAGAGGAGATTGAGATGAGGCAGGGAATATCAGCTTACTTTGCTGCTGAGATTACTTACCTTAAATACTCGGTGAAATTCTCACAGCTGGGTTGCCCATCCCTGAGGTTCTGTCTTGCTGTGTCCCTACTGTGCAGGGAGTCAGGCCTCGCGGATGCTGTGCAGTGCTGGGTGCAGTGCTGGGTGCTGTGCAATGCAGGGTGCAGTGCTGGGTGCAATGCTGGGTGCTGTGCAATGCAGGGTGCAGTGCTGGGTGCAATGCTGGGTGCTGTGCAGTGCTGTGCAGTGCTGGGTGCTGTGCAATGCAGGGTGCTGTGCTGGGTGCAATGCTGGGTGCTGTGCAATGCAGGGTGCTGTGCTGGGTACATTGCTGGGTGCTGTGCAGTGCAGTACTGTGGAGTGCAGTGCTAGGTGCATTGCTCGGTGCAGTGCAGTACTGTGCAGTGCTGTGCAGTGCTGGGTGCTGTGCAATGCAGGGTGCTGTGCTGGGTGCTGTGCAGTGCTGGGTGCTGTGCAATGCAGGGTGCAGTGCAGGGCGCTGTGCTGGGTGCAGTGCTGGGTGCAGCCCTTGGCGGGTCCCTCGGTGATGTCAGCATGCCTTGCTCACCCCATCCCACTCCATCACACCTCAGCTGGATCCCCGGGATCCCTTCTCAAGCTTCACAAGGCACAAGCCGGGTTTGGTGGCAGTAGGGGCAGCAGAACCCCAGCGCACAGCCCCGCCAGGGGCGTACGGCCGTCGAACCGCCCGAGGCTCAGAGCCGACCGCGCCTCAGAGGCAGCTCGGGGGGCAGCGGGGCTGGGGAGTTTCTTCTCTACAGCGACGTTCCAGCAGCTCCCACCTGGGAGCAGTTCCTACAACACGCGTCCAGCACAGACAGCCCCTTTTTTTCAGCGGACCAGCCTCACTGTGACAGAACCACCGCACGGCGCTGCGGTGCAGGACACGAGCGGGCAGAGCGAGCCGCTCGGCGCCGCGCCTCCCGCGGCTTCCGCGCCCCCCTCACAGAGCGGCGACCGTTAGGAGCGTTGGGCGCGTGCCGCCAGGCGGCGCTGCGGGCAGCGGCACAGCGCGCGGCAGCACGGCGCGGGCAGCTCGCGCACCTCAGGCGTCCGCGGAGCCTGGGGGCGCTGCGCGCTGTTAGAAAGCCGGGAGCACCGCAGGGATCCACGCAGCTGAGGTTTAAACATCAATCCGGCAGAAATCGGAGCTGCTGTAAAGAAGCGACGTGAAGCCCTGAGTTCGGTTATAAGCCACAAGGGAGCGCTGCTGGAGGACGCGCGAGCAGAGCCGTAGCACGGCGCGTGCACGGAAACAAAGTTAGCAAGGGGTCAGAGGTGCTTAAAGAACAAGTTTATTGACAATTCCATCACACATAAACGTCCTAAAAGAAAATGTCAGAGATCTCTAAACTTAGAAATTTTAAAATTTTGTTCTCATTGGCAAAATACACCCCCCGAGAAAGAAAGAAAAAAAAAAGAGATGTCACCGTGTTTTTTAAACTAATTGCAACATTTTGGATCAGTCTTTTGATTTTGTCATACACGTCCAACCCTTCAGCACAGTGAATATGAGTCCAGTTTGCCTTCTGATGGAATCTGAAGAGGGTTTTCCTCTCTGCAAGCACCTCCAGAATCCTCTGCCTGCTTACAAACCAGCAACGCCAGCGGGGAACAACTGCAACGTTCAGTCTGGGCCAAATTATCCTGGTAGCAACCGCAGCTGAGATTCCTCCTGCGTGACACAGAGCACACGGTGCCGTACAACAAACCATCAGCATGCATCTCAGG